GGTCAATACAGTGTTATTAATCGCTGCAACCAGGTCGCCTGTAAAGTTGAAGGCTAACTTCTATAGGTCAATAGACTTACTAAGTCAGTCGACGTAAATTAAAATACCTACGTGGACGTGACTCAGATTGGCATAATAGAAAACCGACGCATTTTTGGTTGCAAGATGCTGAGTTGGACTGCTTTGAAATGTGTAGCAAACACGACTTAGTTTTCCAGTATGCAACTGACTGGAAGCTAATCCGGAAACTAATCCAACATTCTGACCTGGAGGCATCATTCATTGTTGGGCAGGATCCGCATTGGCCTAAACTAGCTACAACAGTCCTAAATGTTCCTCAGGATAAAGGTAATTCTTTCCGTCCAACGGATGCTAAGCTAACGTGGATCAAACTGTAAGCGCTAAAACTGATTACCGAATTCTAAAAGAGCAGTTATCCTTACTGAAACAAGTGGGTGAACTCTCCATCACTGGGACTTGTTAGACTTATACCTAAACGGTCGAACACAGGTAGTTAAAATCGGTCAGCAATATTCTACCCTGAAACAAATAACCAGCGGCGTCTTCCAGGGAAGTGTGCTCCGATAACTACTTTCCCTAATCTACGTAAACAACATATGTGACCCGATCAAACAGAGACACCCATTTCTGTTTGCAGATGACGTCAAACTGGTCTAATTATTTCATCCAGATTAAGTATAAATATGCCTGGGAAACATCTGTGAAGACATATCCGCGCTAACTATAGCTAGTGAATGTTTATTAATGAAGTTATCCCCAGTGAAATCCCAAGTACTTGGGTGCAGATGCCGCATCCCAGAAGGCTCTATCATACTTGCCGGAAAGGTGATCCAAACGTCTGATTCAGCTCGGGATTAAGGAATTAGGTCCTTCAACTTTTTCAATTTCTCCGAGCAGGCGCTTTATCAGATTGCGAAAGCAAGGCAGTTCTGCGGGTATATCACCAGAACTTTCTCCTTATTTGAAGCACGATTTGAGTCATTCAAGACAATAGACTCTGGAATACTGTACTAGCCTTCACAGCCAATGGAGAAAGAAAGACAGAACGGCTCTGGAAAACGCCCTACGGTCATTTACCATGTTGGTCATGGGGGCTGCTCAAACCTGAGTTATTATGATCGATTTCGAAAACTGCAGCTGGATCCTCTTCGGCTGAGGCGCTTGAGGAACAACCTCGTTCTCTTCTACAACCTTATAAAGCGAGGAATTTACGCAGAAAGCACCGCACTTGATCTGCGGAATACTGCAGTCTACCCCAAGCGCAATGACGGCTACTGTATATGCACAAACCGTTCAAGTCATAAACTATCGAATTTCTTAGTGCGATCTGTGGAACAAACTACCCTTACAGAGACGCATGAGTACAAGCTATGTCACATTTCGAAACTACCTTCAAACGTTCCTAACTATTTCAAATGTTATGAAGGTATCTGACTCACAGAAAACTCTAGAAACATTGACAGAAGCTGGTATAAAATACAAATGAGCGGATATTCTCTTGCAACTAGCTTACCCACTACATGTCATTATTTACAATACCAAATCCTGCGTCTGTACAGACTAGAATCCCCTCCCTTTTATCATCTACTACTGAGCCCCACAAACTAGAAAATGATGATAAAAACATCCTTTAATTTTATATATTAAGTGCACGGGTTTAGGACACGAGGAAAAGAAATCGTGATCCGAAATTCTATTAATAAACTGCTTTTACTATTATGATTTACCATAAAACCATGATAAACCATGAAATCAATTCACCATACAAATGATCACTCCCACTTATGGGGCCGTGTACCGTCTGTCGGTAAATATAAAAATTTATTTACTACATGGGTTCTACAAATAGTGGGGTAAACTGACTTAACGATGCGGCTTGTGGCATAAATACTGTTCCTCTGAGTTAACGGACGACTAGGAACTGTCAAAAGACAGAAAAACATTTACAATACCAAGGAGCTGAAAAAGCACCGGAATTTCGAAGAGTAGTTTGCCACAGCCAAAAGACTAAAACAAAGCAAATTGTTATTCCAATTGCTCAATAATAATTTATCCCAGCCTTTCCGCTCGTCATAGACCTTGTCTGTAGACAATTTCATTTGATAGCGATAGCTGGATATCCAACACGACTGCAGCTTAGTTAGTTAGACTTGGGCTACAACTCCAACTGCAGGAGTTTTCCTCACAGTCAACCCAAACCAGTGGGCATTCGCGAGCATGGACAGAGTGGTGACAGCCGAAAATACATAATCGACGGGCAACGGTTACATCCTACATCTTCATGAATGATCTAGGCGCCCTTCCACGCTACGAGTTGAAGTCCACGGAAAATATGCATTGGTCATATCACAAAGGAATGTGAATGGTTTTAGAACTAAAGTGCATTTGCTACACTTGGTCTGAAGCCCTTGACTTTCGTTTTTTCTCTTTTTTCATAAAACAAATGTTAGAGTAAGGATGAACTGCGCAGGATTCCAGCCATCGAGGCGTGGTCCTGGAGCAGCTGAAGTTACAATGGAAGTTTTACCAAAGGCCAAGATAGAAGGCATTCCCTTATTAATAAACACACCGTTTCAAAAGTCATCGGAATGGATAGCTGGTTGAATGTATCGGACGTTAGCTAGCCGAGTTCAGCATCAAGCAAGCATTTGAATTTTTCGGGTTCTTTTCATCTTCTCGTCGTTCACATACCCGGAAATATACTACACTTCCGTTTCGACCTACGGTGTTACGTCAGTTGTACGCATTCATCAGGTCCGCCGCTCTCCTCTATAATTCGGCGGCATTATATACTGACAAGCAGCGTAAGGTGCTAGTGGCCATGGACTCCGATATTGAAGGAAACGATAGATGCGCACTGCTGACTGGACCTAGCAGCTTGAAACGTCAGTCTAATGAGTTTCCTGTCTTGTAGCTAGCTATATAATTTGTAAGCTACTGATAAGAAAAGCCGACTTTTAATGCAAAAATTCCGCTAATGTTTGGTGCCTTAGAATTTGAGCATAAAATATAATTTATACGCGAGCATGAAACAACTTTTCACAAATGTTACACTGAAAAATACTTCAGATATTATTGATAATCGTGTGAAAAGCAAATCTCACAACCTAAGTCATTCCTGTGTACCCAATAGTTCGGCAATTGCAATTAAGTAGAACAGTTTACCTTTGGCTATAGTTTGTAACGATGCGCAGTTTACTTGAGCGAATTTTCGTGGTAAATTTTATGGTCCAATGCAAAACAAAGGACTAAATTCTGACATAAAATATATGCAATTTTACAACATCTGTGGGGGAGACACCGTCAGTGTGGCTGTTGTCGTCAAACAGGCAGTTTGCCAACTTTATTTCTAAAAAAAGTGCGAAAAGCACATTAAAATGTAGGTTGAAAAAAGAAGTGGAGAAAATTACTCCACTCCTTAGATTTACACCCAAAGAGAAATCCAGACAGCACGCTCAATCACTTCCGCCAGATCAACATTATTTGTTATTGCTTTATCGATGCGGGATTACTGCACTAATAAGGTTGTTCCTGGATAAGCCATAAAATCAGATTACTCTTTTACTTAACCTTTGGTAGTAAGTACGCTTGCCAAACATGGAAGAGGCTATCCCCAAGGACTTTAGTGCATAATCTACCAAATATGGTCTTGAATCGTTCCATGCTTTAGTTTGGCTACGTACACAGGATATCCTTGACTACAGGGCACTCAGAATTCCTCGCGAATCATTCAATGATGTGAAAATTTATGCGTGCTTGCATTATTTCGCTTAACCTTCAGCGATTCAATGCCTTTGAAACTCAGTTTTTGCAAGAAGTCTGAGATTACTGCAAGGTTTGCTTGGTACTAGCGAGGTTATTGATTATTTTTCTTTACGTCAACTAAGGCTGTACAGTGTTTTTACTGTGCGAAATTCTACAGTTGCAGGCGATATATGTAAAAGATGATCAGAATGGTGTCAGTTCTTAGTTTGTAGCATAGAATTGTGCCTTATTTTTGGCAATGTAGTCATAGACAATTGAACTCACTCAGGTACGCATAAATGTGCAACCGTTTAACTGTTACCTAAAAACATAAGTTTCACAACTTAACTTTTCAATGCCACTGTCTATCAAGTAGCATGGGCCAAACAATCTATGAAGAGCAATTAATTCAAACCTATATCCCACCTAGTAAGATCAACCTTTTAAAAGTTTACCGTATTTTCTTCAGTACTGTAGCATCTTATGGGCTAGCTTGCGTACGGTAGTGAGGTAGATATTAAAATTACTGCAAAAATCATTTACCAGGTTTGCCAAGTAATCCGTCCACCTTAGGCAATTAGGACAGTTCCATTAGCTTTATCATTGACATCTGCTTGCATCGGCTGATAAGTAAACTGACGCTGCGGCACCACCTACAAAACCGGGTGCTCTACCCCAAACTTCGCACACTTGAAACATAAACTAAGCATACCTGAATGCTTCACAACAATAATTAAATGCTAATTGTAAAATGAACCAGGATAATTGCTCGCCCTCATTGATCCCTTATCAGACACTTTGATTGCGGAATCACATATCAGCTACCATAAGGTATTTTGCAAACGGAATAAATTTCTACAGTAAACCAGCAAGGTAGGTCAACCAGAACTCCACACTAGTCATTGTTAATCAAGGAAATCTTCACAACCAATCTACTAGATTGGATCAAGAATATGGAGACAGAGAGAAAGTTCTTGAAGACAAAACTAAAACGAATATACATCTCCAAACGTTTCAGTAACACTTGCGTTCCCGAATTCTTATGTCACTCAGGCTAGATCATGATCATGACTGTAGCTACAAATGTAGCAATTTTGCTAGAAGAGTCTCAAGCACAATACAGAAAATAATACCATTGTAAACTAGCCAATAACCATTGCATTGAGTATTACGTAAAATATAGCTCAGCATATATTTTGCTACTTATCCTCACAGGATAATATGTCAGAACGTACTTTCTTTCATACTCATGACGCGTTTTCATCTATGTTCAAATTTGAAAGCGGCGTATGGCATCCTCGATTTCTTATTTTACCCGACGTACTCCGTCTGATAGATCCCGCGGAGAGTATGGTTTGCCCACAATTGAGCGCAATGTTTGCTCAACTGTTCCGCCCATAGCTTTAATCAATAACCTGACTAAGCTCTGCGGAATTTTCTCCAATCAACTGTCACTGCGCCGTGGTTGGTTGGTACTTAGGATTCTGTCTCAGGGCGGTCACCCGATAACTGGGTCGGCTGTCTGAGCAAACGTAAACAATTTGCTCAATGGATGTCGCATCCGACATACTTGAAATTTCACCTTATGTTGATAGCAACTTTATACATAAACATAACAAATTTCATTTAGGATTGACTGCTACATTGAGTTTGTAAGAAAGAAGTAAATCGTTTAATATACAACTGTTATGCTATTTCCACCGAAACATAAGAAAAATGCATATTCTTCAAAATATACTTGCCTACCAGAGTCAAGGAAATACGAAACTGATGATGAAAGGTAACGCAGTATGTAGTTAGAACCTATTAACTCTCTCTTTAAGGTGTAAGGCTGTTACCAAAAGTGACAGCTAGTAATCTCATAGTGTATCGCCGCGAAGAAAAGGACTAGGTGTTGCCATCCCTTCAAAAACTCAGGTTTTAATAATAACTCCTAAAGAATACATTGTGTATTTTGTTACCCCTTAAGATTTGAGAACATGCTAGTCGAGTATAAGGTTACAATGTTTTCATACTGATAAGGCTTAACACAATTGTGTAGTGACATTACATGAATTTACCTTGTTACAAACAGTGTATCCCGCATACCGGATATTTGTATTGTTATTTCAGTCGAAATAATTTATTAGAGATCGAAACCTGGTCTCTAACAAGTCTTAAGTTTAGGTTATACGTCAACACAAAATCAAAATGGATGTGCTTCCTCAGTTTTAGTGCCTACGGCTTTAAATGTGCTTTGCAAGTGGATATAGGGCAATGGAAAATGCTGTCAGGGTTTAAAACAATAATTGGATTAGCTATCAGCCACACATTTGCGGTAGACAAATATAAAACCACCCATGGATACACAAAATTATAGTGTGCATTTAATATAAATCAAATAGGAATAAATTATAAGAAGGTTCCACAGTGACAAGCTTTGTGTAAAGAGTTAACAGAAGCAATAGATTTGTAGAAATCCAAAGTATACGGGAAATCAAGCGAGTTTAGACAACAGCTCCGGGATAGTCAGCTTTAAAAGGAACAGTAATCCTGTCGGCTATCGAAACGGCTGCATTTTCCCCTTCGTTTCACATGATTAGCTCTGAGTTCGGTATTATAGCTGAGCTTCAAATAATCTCCGGGTGTGGCATTAGGGCCGCGCAGTATGTGCAACACCAGTATTAGTTATCCACGCATCCGCCCGGAGAGTCGACTGAAAACGCTGTTTCTCCAGCATTTGTTGGTAAAGGAGGTTGATAGTCACCTGAGGCTCCCCGGCGCTTATTCTGCTTTTGCTTAGTGACAGCATCCTCAGGATACTCTCTTGTGGACTTACCGGCCTACTGGAATTATTTTGTGTTAATTTTGAAACAATTAATGTTCGTTTCTGGGTCACATTTCGTGTGATAGTTATTACCGGTTATGTATTTCCGTGTTGCAAGTGAAGTTTTACCATTTTAATCCGCTTTTGAGAAATGTTTCTAACGTGTGAAAGGATACAGCTTACGGTTTCTATTCAAAAGTTTTTGAAAACTTTGCAAATAATCTTACTTGCTTTGATTACTGTGCATGACTTCATATTTCGTGCTTTGGTGTAAGTGGTATAGGCATTATTCCCTTCAGTCAGTATTCGCATCAGCACTGAACGTGTGCTTCAGTTACTTGAGCGGTGCTCTGTACCCGTTGTCGCCATGATACATATTTGCACGCCACCAGCTAGACGTGTTTTGTTGTCTTTGCGCCGTTTGGCTGAGAGTCATTATGCGTTCGTAGGTTAACGTCACTTCCGCAGGTGGAGGTTTTAACACAGTAACTTCCGATTCCTCTTTTCTTTGTTCTTTGTTCCATTCAACATGATTTCACCCAAAACTGATGCAACGTTTGTCGCAGTCTAAGGCAGCCAGAGAAAAGTATGACGTCTAGCGATGCAAATCGCAACTAAAAGTGTTTACTCGTGTGCAGTTCTAGACTTACTGTCCCGCAAACTGTCCTAGATTGCATGCGAGGTACAACCCAGCCTTCCTTCCACTCAACTCCCTCTGTCAACTTATTATCTCGCCATCCGGAATTTTTCGGAAACACGACGCCAACTGAGGCTAAAGAGATATTGCGTTTGTGTTCTACTATCTTTAACGACACAGATCAATCTAATGAATGAGTACCTATGGAAAATTCAACGGCGGAAGAAGCCGCGAAACGAAACAAAGAGTACTGCTACTGAACAACAAGAGACCAGCTCAAGCAAAGCTCAAAGCAACTTTTATCACAAGAGAACTAGCTTGAATGACTAGAGGTGATTACAGCTAATGCTGCTTCAGGTGCCTGGGTCCAACGATTCTAGTCCTCAGGCACGCTGTGAACCTGATCCAGTTTCTACAGTGCCTGTTTAGCAGGCTCCTCGAGGTAGGTGAGGATGGAATGAAAGTGAAGCAAGCCATCCGCATCTGCAAAACAATGCTGAGAAAGACCGCCCTATGCGGGTAATTTTGCCGAGGAGGCAAGCTTGAAGCTAATCCTTTCTCGACTGAGTAGAATGAGAAGCGATAAGGTGCATGATCCTCCGGATATCGATCCAGCTGCCTGGGGGTACCTCCAGTGTGTCACCATCTAGCTAAAGCACAAAAATAGTGGGAAAGTAACCAACTTTCGGATTGTAGATTTTCGATTGACTACAACACTAGCTCAAATTGGATAAATCGGTCGCTCATTCTTTAGGCGCGCCCGGAACTTCTTGCGAAAGCACGCATGTAGCCTTTACTAACGTCTTCAGTCTTAGAAACAAGTCGATGATCTTTGTCATTTCGCTGTTTTTGACGGACCAGATATAATGCGACTCACAGTGACGTGCTTGAACCTTGAAGTACTTACCCAGGATTCTGAGCTTACTAGCCATGGTGCTTCAGCTTTGATAGGCTATCGAATGCCCGCGGTCGAGTCCTGCTGTATATCTGGTCTTTTCTGTGTGGGTGACTCGTGAGTGCCAACCGAAGCGAAGATGGTCTGTGTTAGCATTTGTGGTGCTTCGACCACCACAGGCGCGGAGAGCTGCTCGTGTGTGCATTCTATCGCAGTCTTCTGATCCGTTTTTAGGATTGGCTGCCGCATCTCCGAGACTACATGACTCGCCGTCAATTGCTACTCATAGGCGATTTCATCTGTCCCCGAATACATTGGATGAAATTGACTTTATCACCGATTATCGTGAGGCAGAAGTAAGGTTCGGTTATATGATACCTGAAACGGGGGCAACACAACGCATCTGCCAAACGGACTAGTATAACATTGCTCTCAACTCCAAGGTGCTAAGAGTTAATGTTAACCAGCTGTAACCAACACGTGTATTGTCAACATATAGCTGCCTCTTCAGCAACCACATGCACCGCAGCCATATTACAACGACTGCCAGGAGCATTTCGACGGTCAGCATCTAGCTGCTAGCCAAGTTTTCATCGGATTCTGCATCTGCTAAAGCTTCCTGCTCAGTTATATAGGATGGCGTAAACACATTGTGTAACTTATTTGTGCCCTTCTGGCATTGGAAACTCGGACTGGGCAATCATCTTTGATTTGACAATGAATATGGTAAGCTGGCTTGTCAGCAGCGTAGACTGTGGGATAACTTTTTACTACTGGCTCAGTGGAAGTTGATGAGATGAATACAAAGCTGCGAAATGTCTGCTACAGTGTGTAAACAAGCATGCGTCACATTTTGAAGAGCAGCTTGCAAGAACCGCCAGAAGACGAATTTTGTGTACGTGAAGAGGTGCCTGAAGCCAACAGGTAACCTACCGGTGACGGAGGACACAGACTGCTCCTAATCTCCTGCACTGTGTGTGCTCCCGCTTTCGCGGTGTACTTTGCTTGTGTGTTCGCAAATCACCAGGTGCTGTACCGATTTCGGCGTGCGCCACCGACACCGAACTCGACAGTCAGTGTTGCAGTGTAGAAGAGGTGTGTCAACTACGTCACCATCTTGAGAATACTAAGTCCTCTTGACCTGATAGATTGAATCCACTGGTTATCAAGTCCTTAAAGGTCATCACCTCACCTACCGGATCCAATCAGTTCCGCAGGTCTATATCCATAGGTTCATTGACTATTGATTGGAAATGCCTGGGTTTCAGGCCGATTCCAAATGTTCGTGATCACAACCAAGTAGACAACTACAGGCAAATTTATTTGACACCTATAATAATAATAATAATAATAATAATAATAATAATAATAATGTGTCAGCTGTACGCCGGAAAGGCGATGAATAAAAATACTCACCAAAATCCTTCACTCATAAGTAATACAAATACGCCCTTACGGATTCCACAAAATGCCATGTCGATTCATAGCTGCTGTAACCGGGAAGTCCTGAGGCCGGAAGGCCAACCGCTGTGATCTGCATGGCAGGTGCCTGAATGGCAGTGGAGGATGGGTCGAGCTATATCGCACTGAGCTAACAATTCGTGATGGTCGGATACCGTCCTCCATGGCGCAGTTGCATAAGCTGCGGGCTAGTTGGCAAGAGCCACTAGCAGTCACGGATTCGATCCTCCGCAGAGGACCGAAGGATGCGCACCACTGATGAGCCCCAATAGGGCGAAACGGACGTCTGGTGCTTTTCCGGATAGCTAGTTGACATATCTGAATTGTCGGCTGATTGCGACGAACAAAAATACTCATTAAAATCCTTCCACTCATAAGTAGTAAGGTCCTTCTTCTAAAGCTAAAACGGCGTAATGTTGATGGATCCGATAGATATAAAACTTTCTCGTTGG